ACTTATATTACTGGCGGAGAAGACCAACGTAAAAAGTAGAATGCGTAGCATATTACGGGGCAGTTCAATCGTGTATGCGTTGCCCATGCGGCGCAACACACGAAATGGACCGATATACTTGGGCGGTAGTTTGTTGCTGCCCGCGTTTGTCACTACATGTTTTTGGTAGATTTACTGTAGACAGTAAAACTAAGTCTCCTTCATTAAATACAAGAACATTTGCTCTTCCATGTTTGTCTGCGTTTCGTTTCTGTCTGTCTAGTGCATCTGCAATAGAGTCTTGAACGAAGCGGACAGCCGCTTCGCGAGTTAGCAGAAATTCCTCTGCTGATTCATACTTATTAACAGCAGTTGCTTCGTGTGCAATGCTGAAAGAACGTTGTCTCTACCAGTGAGGACGTCATCTTCCTCACTGCAGCAGTCATTGGCGATGCTGAACATACCAGCATCGTTATCATCGGCATCCATCACGTCGACAATATTGTCGACGTGTGATGAGCAAGAACCGGATCGGTTTTTGCTTGAACCAGTCCAACCCCCCTATAAACTAGAGTCACACTCTAAGAAGGCGGGCAAACGTGGATGAAGTAGGCCATTCACGAAGAACGGTGTATGCGTTGTTGACGCATGAACCGAGTTGTTGATGGCGAATTCCGCTATCGGCAAGAACTCAGTCCAACTCGAAAACGAGTGAACGCACCCTCGAAGTGTCTCTTCAAGGACGCGGGTGACGCGTTCCGTCTGACCATCTGTTTCTGGATGGTCAGAAGTCTACATCTTTAAACGTGTTCCAAGTGAACGAAACACGGATTGCCAGAACTCTGCCGTAAAGAGGTAGTCCCTCTCAGACACGAGTTCACGGGGTAACTCGTGAAGTCGGAAGATAGTATAGATGAAGACACGAGCACAGTCCTGGGCTTTGATGGACTCCGGTACAGCAACAAGATGTACTATCTTGCTGAAACGATCAACAAGCACAAGAATACCAGTATTCTTTTGAGCGGCGTTAGGAAACCCAAAGACGAAGTTCATCGATACGGGCTGCCAGCACTCTACTGAAATCGGTAGGGGCTGCGAGGTTGCGCGGTATGAAGGACGAGGCTTCACCCGTTGACAAACCTCGCAAGCGCGAATGTATTTGTGCACAAACTCATACTGGCGGGGCCAGTAGAAGTAACGACTCACCGTGAGGTAAGTCTTTTCTCTACCGCGATGCCCACTCGTTGGTGCATCGTGACACTCATACATGATGCGCAATTGTAAATCATCATGAGCGGGAACGACGATACGAGGTGTGTCGCCGTTGACTGCTGTATAGTACAAAAGTCCATCGCGAACCGAATACCGTTCGGTTGAGGTGCGGTATTGAGACGACAAGCTTTTCAAAGCTTGAATGCACGGATGAGACACGTAATCCATCAATCTCAGAAGAGACTCATCTTCTGTGCATGCTTTCCGCACGTCTTCGAGAAGATTCAACGACGGAACACTCACTGTTATTGTTGCTACAGTATGATCACCCCTACTGTTGGGTCGAGCAGTCGGCTCGAAATTGGGCCGAAGCGAAATAGCATCAGCGACGACATTTAGTCGTCCTGGTTTGTACTTGACGGAGAAGTTGTGCTCCGCGAAGGAAGACAGCCACCTCGCCATTCATTGCAAGAGGTGTGGACTGTTTACGGCCGTGCGTAAAGACGCACTGTCGGTATGAACGATGAAGGGCCTATCTCCTAAGAGATACACCCGAAACTTGGCCAGTGCATATTTCATGGCAAGGAGTTCCTTGTCATGCACCGGGTAGTTACGCTCAGCTGCTTGCAGCTGACGCGATTGATTACAGACGACACGCTCATGCCGTCTGAGGCGTAGCGCTTAAACGCGCAGCCGATTGCAACATCTCTGGCGTCACAGCCCACATGGAATGATCTGTCCTGGTCTGGAATCGCGAACACGGGCGATTGTATCAAGATGTTCTTGATACCTTCGAAGGATTTCTGACACTCAGCACTCCATGACCACCTCTCGTTTTTCTTTAACGAACGATAGCGATGTACGGTCATCTCGGTGTAGTTGCGCGAGTACTTGTGCAAGTACGCCGCCAAGCCAAGGAACTTTCGAAGTCCCTTGACTTCGACTGGCACAGGCCAGTCGCTAATCGCCTTGGTCTTTTCCGGATCAGGGCGTACGCCGTTTTTACCCACGGTTCAGCCAAGAAGTGGTATTTTGCTTGCTGCAAATATACACTTCTTGAGGTTCTCGAACAACTTATGCTCTCACATTAGAGTAAGAACCTTCCGGACGTGGATTCTATGATCCTCCACGTCCGCCTTTCCATCCATAGCCCGGCTATGGACGAAGACATCGTCGAAGTAACTCGGTGCAAAACCTCGCACTGATCGCAACCGATTCTTAACACATCTGTTGAACATTGCAGGGGCGATACTTAGCCCCTGTGGTATCACTAGCCTCTCACAGAGCAGATTAATGGGGGCGCTCACTGCTGTGTACGGGATTTACCGTTCACGCACGAGGATCTGATAGAATCCATCCATCAGATCCATGACTGAAAAGATGGTACTCTTTGCCATACCATCTATGATGACGTCCTTCCTTGGTATCGGCTTCTTAGCCGGTACCGTTGCAGCGTTCAATTTTTTTGGATGCGTGCACTATCCGCCACCCTCCTGTGGCCTTTCGCACACAGAAGGTCAAAGAGCTGTGTGGGGATGTTGATTCCCTCACATGATTAGCCGCTTAACGATCGGCAAAGAATTTGTCGATTGCTGTAACCTGTTCACGAGGAAGTGGTCACTGCTTCATGACACAGTATTTCGAACCAGGTTTCAGTTCGATCTCATGCCGAGTGCCTTTGTCCTTAGGCAGCTCGCATGGCACGGATTCCGGGAAAACATCCCTGAATTCAACCAAATCCTTACACAAAGGATTTGTAGTAAAAGACTCCCAAGATTGAGACGTGTATCGCTCAATCCGAGTCTTCTCAACGAGGACACTCTTGTCCATCGATGAAATACTGAGAACCCGTTAGTTCAAAGCAAACACTTGAGCCGATCGAATATCGGCGACGTACTCGTCCTCTGTGACGAGTACGCAGATCGGCTTGATCTTGTCACTACGCAGATCTCGCAAGAATCTTTTAGATTATAGTGTTGGCAACTTGATTACCTCCGAAGCTGACTTCGGGGGTGTAACCAGATAAAGTGTGTAAGCGCCTACACTTGATCCGTCATTCACCAAGACATTCACTGACTCGTTGATTTCCTGGGAAAACACATCCGCAGGTAGTTGGGGATCCACACTATCAACAAAACTATCTCGGGAGTTATCACTATCAGAAACGCTGGAACTTTAATCCGATACGTGTACTGACTGTGGGTGTACTACCACAGTCACATCCGCTTCGATCGACTCTCTTTCAGTCGTTCGGGCTTGCTCTACGATCGATTCTATGATACTCAATCTTGCTTCAACGTGTTGTCCATCCTGAACAACACTAATCTCTCTTCTCGGATGCACCCTTCTTGGTGTGCATCCGTGTTCCAGTCCACTCGATCTATTCAAGTGGAGAACCTTCGGCGCAGCCTTTGTCTCTACACAGGTGCCGGAAGCTGGTTCCACAGTGTAGTGGCCTCCTACAATGTGATCTTGTGCAATCGTACTAACGACAGTACCACAAGTGAGGCCATCGCACTCACTCGTAGTACATCCAACACGCTTGTGGACGCTCCAAGACGTTCATCAGATGGCCATCCGATGAACAAACGACAGGCATCGTCACGGATCGATGCTGCCAGCTAACCCATGGCTGGTATATTCTAAGCCATGGCAGACCAAGGATGACATCAAATTTGTCATCCAAATCTGATACGATGAAGTCATCATCGTACTGTTTTCCTTGTAGCGTGTAGTGAATTCCCACTACGCGTTTGTTCACTGTTGCGGATGCGCCTGTAGCAAGTCACACCGTCATCCTCGTTGGAGGTATCTCTCGCTCAACATCGTTGAGTCTACTATCTTCTAACGACTTGCGTCAAATAAGACTGCTCGACGCCCCACAGTCAACTAGAGCGCGAAGTGAAATTCCACTTGTCACTTCGATCTTCAAAGTGATGAGGGACACCTCATCACTAGGGAAAGTAACACACAGCGACTGTGTGTTGGGAGCAATCTTCGTCAAGATTCTGCAAATTCTCTTGACGTTGCTAGATCAGCAGGGTGCTCCGCCCCTACTGACCCTGACCGTTGTTTGGCGGTCCGACTTGCTGTCGCGGCTTAGCGACATGGTTGGATCGGTGCCTTGGACTTTCCCTTGGCCAAAAGCGGTCATCACGTCCTGTCGTTAGACGTGATTCGGTGCTTGGGACACTACAATCACGGGCGTCGTATCCGATCTTCTGACAGCGATGGCATCTTGCCGTTCACTTGTGACTTAGACAGCAAGAATTCTCGCTCTCGGTGTAACAGAGGTCTATTGGTTCGGGACCTCCTGTTTCCTGTCGTCTCGTCGGACTATAGTTTGACGAGTTAGCCTGATACTGTCTCAGGCTGAAGTATTCTTGTTCCGCATACGCTGTCGCCCTTTCCAGCGTATGGAAGTCCTCTCGGAACGTGTAGGTCTTCACCGGTTCATTTACAAGGCCGTAGATTATGACTTTGATGAGCGTGTGCTCATCATTAGGGTTTTACGTACCGCCACTCGCAAGGTAACATAGGTGTTGTGTGTAAGCGTGCACGTCACGCTTACCTTGGTTGAGCCTCAAGAGTGCAGTGCGTGCTCTGAACTCAGCTCTCGGCGGCTCAAACGTTTCTTTGAGCGAGACTTTAAGATATCGAGCGACTCAAACACGTTTGGGTCGTAAAGCTTGAGCCCTGAGGCCCCAGTCTTTGCTTGTCCTGTCAAATTTGACAGGCTAAGGTGACTTGCATCTCGTCACCCTCGATGTGACGGCCCCTGATGGAATCGTCTAAATCAGCGAATTATCTCAAAAGAGATCTTCATCGGTACCCTTGTACATTGAGATATCAATCTTAAAGATTTCGGGTCGACACGTGTGCGTCGGTCCGCCCATCGACTGATGAGAGCCTTGCTGTTGTAGCAAGGCTATCATCTGTCTTCTGACGGCAAGTTCCCCTTGTAGGAGCTTGTTGATAGCAGCATGTTGCTGTTCTCTGCTTAGAGACTCCAGCATACCACTGATGGCGGGTACGCCCATGAGCACACTCATGCGGCCGACTTCCTCCGATTCTGAGTCACTCAGATGGGAGTAGCCTTCACATGTGACGTGAAAGCTGTCGTCTTTTACCTCCAACATGTTCACATTGGGCGGACACTAAGTAGTCGTTGGACGGACTAAGAAGTGCTACCAGGTGTAACGAGGCACCCTTTGTTAGGGCGCCACGAAAACTCACGTACACTAGTACGTGCAGAGGTAGCTAATATACTCAACGACTAAGCTGCGTAAAGGCTAAAATGAGAACTGTATTTAATATAGTTAAGATATCAATAAAACTTTAATCTTTATCTAACTGTCTTAAACTACGTCGTCGTATGACGACAACCTGCTCACCACTCATTGCGCGCGTCCAGCGGCGATTGGTGGCAATCTATGGTCGGTATGTCTTACATCAGCCAATCTTTGAGCAGCGCGTGAATATTATCAAAGGAGGATAATATTCCTTCAAAAGTATCCATCTCAAATCGTAGTGATAGGATATTGTCATGCTAGACAATATACCTATTGATACCGTTTGGTGTCAATATCACGTAACGGTCTACACCTTTATAAGCTTCCCTAGATTAGGGTGTTGGACGCCACTGTGGGTCCCGGTGTCATCGAATTGGATACCACGATTTCGATGGGTGTAACGGAGCACTGATCACTATGCTGACTAGGAGCTAGTGCACCTACACTGATAATTGTGTAGTCAGTGCCGCACGTCCCTAAACGTACCATGTACGTGCATAGGAAAGGTAGCTAGTGAACAACGCGTTCAATAGAAGTAGTAAGTACAACTGCATTAAAAAAAATTTAAGTCCTATTATTATCCCATGTTTTAGTTCTAAATTTAATCGTCTTTGTCTAAAAAACTGTATGCTAATAACTCGCTCAACACTCATTGCGCGCGTCAATCGTTAATTGGACCGCTAGAACCGGCTTACATGATGGCCCATACCAGCCAATCGGTGATTGTTTCTGAGTATGATTCCTATGATGGTCTTCACAACATTACCAATCTATTTGATAATATTCTAATCAACAAGTATCAAGGTAAATTACACGGAACAGGCTCACCCCTTTCAATGGGGACATGAGTGTATATCCAGTACATTTCGAGAGATGAACCTGAACGTCGATTAAGTGCTTATGACTATAAAAACCGGTGTGCTTCTACCTGAACTAGATCACAATCCTCCTAGATGACTCAGACTGCTTGGCTCGATACTGCGGACATCACGGGGAACACTACGCCTAGGTCACGTGGAATCGGGGATCCAGTTATACGGGCTGACAGGGCGCTGGTATCGCGGAAAACGCCGGGGACCAAACTGATCACCCCCGATGGCCCCTGACGCACCTGAACGGGGCCGATCAATTCACGTTCTAGGCAAGTTCGCTTCGTGGACCGGGAATCATGCTCGGCGACCGGCCGACAATTTGAAGGCTGACGTATAATAGCAGGAACTAGGTGAGAGGTTGACACCGCTGGCGCCGTGCCCTCACCCCGGGGTGTCTGGGTTGTTGCTCTCCTTGCGGTTCGCACGCTGCTCTGCCCCCCGCAGCGCACACAGCGGATAGAAGGCCTCCCCTTTTTTAACCTGGGCCCCACTTAAGGTGAGTTCCCGTCCAAAAAATGGGGCCGGTTGTCCGGCTCTTTAGAAATCTGTGTCGCTTGGCCGTTGTTGGCCAAAGGCGCAAATTGGGAAGTTTATGTCCAAGTCATTGCGTATTGATTACGTCAAAGAAGAGTCGGAGAGTAGTATAGCTACTCGTTATAAAACAGCCTGAAACCCCAGGCATTACCGTAGTGTCTGTAGTGCCTTTTATGGATAGGATGGCTGCTACATGTACTGCAAAATAGTGGCGACAGACCACAGTTTCTGTGGCTGCTGCCGAAGTTGTATAGGCCAACCTGACCACATGGACTGCGACAAAGTTTGGATGGGTCCAGAGCAGCTGCTTGTGCTGCAGTAAAGCTTGTCATCCAATTTTTAATGGAGCAACGAAGCAGGGGGGCCGCTTATCCAACGTGCATGTTCCTTCGTTGGCACGAGCGCTTGCATAATGCTGTCAGTCCATCAAACTCGGTGATTCCACGACCTCTGCAATAAACCGGCTTGGTGTGACACGTGGAGTGACCGAACTCGAGCGAAAATTTCGTGTGCTTTTGTACATCGAGAGCCGGCGCAATTACTTTTGGCGCGCTTCCTGCAGCCAGACCGATTATCGTACGAGAACGTTTTACAAACTTTAGGATGAGTCGACCGTACCATCATCCTACGCGCAGAATTGGCCCATGGGCTACGTACTGGAACGCTCGAGAGTGTTCACGATATTTGTGTGCCATGAGTCGGATACAATCTTAGATGAACCTGAACGTCGATTAAGTCCTTATCACCATACGATATCGGTGTGCTTCTACCTGGCTACATCATACTCGTCTCGCTGGCTCAGACTGCTTGGCTCGATACTGCGGGCATCACAGGGGACACTCCGCCTAGGGCACGTGGAGAGTCGGACACAATCTTGAACGAGGGGGATCGGTGATGAGATCAGACGGGCAACTGCAACAGCTTCCACATGAATGGGTGCACGACGTTGTACCCTGTCGAACGTTGCACCCTGTCTGAATCTACCTGTCTCAAGGTGTAGCAGGGACACGAGCGCAAATTTGTATGACGGGCGCATTGCGCTACGTTGTGACGCACGCATGACGAATCATGGAATACGTGTCTTAGGTTTTGTATGCATTGGACACTAACCTCCTCAGCCAGCGATCAGACGTGTCCCAGCTCCTTTGCGTGATCTTTTCGTGCTGTGCCGTCCACTTGGCGCTGGCTCATTCTACAACAAAAATCTGCCCGTCATCTCCTTCACCACTTTCTCGATCGTCTCAATTGTCATTTCGGAATTCACCTCCTTCACCACAAGCGCACCTTCGACCACTGACACTCCTCTGACGTAAGCCATGATCTGTTCGCTCCTACTCAAGACCGCGGCGTTGGTGTCATCAACTCTCCTGACGTCGGTCGGATCCACTTACGTGAGTCAAGGGGGGGTCGTCGCCCTCTCGCATCCGTCTGGCTCCTTTGCGAAGATGTCCACTCACGGTGCGACCGTGTTCTCCTTTAGCCCGGCTTATGACCCGTACGGGGACGTGCTGGTCATGTCCAACGATTCGGTCTATGACGGCATTAAACCCCTCAGTGGCGGCATTACTGTCGTGTTCCCGAACCGTGACGTCTCCAAGGACTATCCCGTTCCTGAGCTCGGGTTTGCTCGTGTCAGCAAATGGACCCTCGAAAACGTGGACCTGACGAGTGACAAAAACTCGTACAGTTCTGCCATGTTCCGCTTGGAATCCAGTGAGAACACCCGTCGGATGTGGCCTTTCGATTTCAGGCTGGTTTACGAGGTGCGATTGTACTCTACTTGTCTCGAATCGGAGCTGACCGTGATGAACATTGGCTCCAAAGGCATGGTGTTCCAAGCGCTGCTGAACAACCACTTCTATGTCAATGACGTCCGCGACGATGGTGTGGAGGTTTCGGGCCTTCAGGGCGTCGAGTACTTCGACCGGGTGACGGGGAAAACCCAGAACGATATGCGTGAGAGCTTCGGCATCATGTCACGAGTCGACAACCTCTACAAGGACGTCAAGAACGACGTGACCGCCACCATCAAGGGTGCAGGATACACCAAGAAGGTCGTCGTCGAGAAATCCGCGCTGCTCCATACTGGTACCGTCCCACCGGTCCCCCTCAGTACTGACTGCGTCGTCTCGAACCCCTGGAATAAAGATACCAAGAGTGACTTCAGTAACGAGGAGTACATTCACTTGGTCGCCATTGGAGTTGGGACAGTGAGTGGAAAGGTCGGGGTTCTTCCTGATGATTCGTACACTCTGAACCAGGTCATCAAGGTCTCGAGGTACCCGTAGGCAGTGCCCCACAGTGGTCGTGTGTGATGTAGCATTGTGCAGTTGCAACGTGGCTGCTTGAGCTTAGACGCTTCTGTACTTAATGCCTAATCATGAACACACGTTTACAGTCGCTTTCTTGTGCTTAATGTTTTATCTTCAGGTTAGAGAAAGCATTTGATCCCTCCCCCACTTGTTTACGAGCGTTCAGGCTGTTTACAGTAGAACCTATCGATTAATATTGTCTAAATTAAAAAAGCCCTGAATTGATGATAAAATCCGTCCAAAGTTCAGGCCCATGCAACATTTAAAAAACCTCTGTATTTAAATATCAATTGCAATGTAAGTTCTTATTTTTTAAAAAGAAATCGAATAGTTTTTCCTTAGAAAAAGTGTTGGCACTGTAAAGTGATGTGAAGTACTGCCTAAACACGACTAAAGAAGTCTCGTTGTCAGGCTGAACCATTTAATTTGTGCGGATCGCCCCGACTTCGTCCTTCACTCGCTGTAGTGACTTGATAAAAGTCTGGGCATCACCATCATGTTGCAGCCAGAATGTCTCAAGTAACTCAGTTGCCTTCTTAGTATCCATGACAGCGATTTTAGGCTGTTCCTGGCTGTCATCCTGCTCATCCTCAGGCTGATCAAAAGGTGGTCTGCTATGATGTCACTTACGTCCGGAATGTACGATATAATCCGCTCAGCAGGATAGTCGAGCAGGTTGCGGATGTACATCGTCTTGGGACACTTGAAGCGTCCAATCTGATGTTACACTTCTTTCGTAACTTCATTGTCAAGGCAGTGTGTAACGGGGCACCCTGAAGCTTGTACTGGTGACAGTACAAGCTACTTATTCTGATAACAGAATAAGGCGGTGCCTCGTAACTTCACGTACACTCGTACGTGCAGAGGAAGACGGTAAGAAGAAGCGAGTACTTGGTTAGAGTAAAAAGTAGAACTGTATTTATAATAGTTAATGCCTGCAATAAATCACTATTTATCTTCATCTAACTATGTCTGAATACAAATGTGTAAATCAGTTATCTGCTCACCACTCATTGCGTGCGTCTGTCGTGGCGCGTCTTCGTTGGTTGATATAATGGCCTATATCAACCAATTAGGAACTACTTGGAAGTGCTACAGAATATTGTCCTTATGACAATATTCTGAGAATATAACTCTTATAGTTATATTCTATTAACAATTTCTTATAAATTGTTATGTAACGATTCACCCCGTTACATCACCCCCCTAACCATCAGTCACTTTAGTGACTGATTGACTAAATGGATACTCGTCCCAAATCATTTGGGACGGGGTTTGCACTTGTTGGTCCGCGTCCACTTTCCAACATCTCATCGCATGGTAAACAAGCCCATGCGATGCGCGAGCAAGGCCGCCGAGAGCGCGTCTGCACGTCTCTGTGCGGACGCCGAAGCAGAAACTACAGCAACTGATGTCCCATCGGTTGCTGAATCGACTCAGCCTGTATCACCTGGTGATGCAGGCGCTGGTCATGAAGACACTCGTGTCTTCACAGAGTACGAGCTCGGTGTCTCGTACTCTCCTGATACGGATGACGGATCCGTATCGACGGCAATTGAATCCAAGCCGCCTGCCAAGCGTGGCATGGACGATGCTTTGCGTCGCAGCATCTTTGGTTCATCTGATGAGTCAGATGAACCATCGCCGAAGCGAAGGCGCTCGAGGTCGCGAGACTCGGGCGCTAATAGTGGTGTCGTTTCTCCAATGGACACCACTTCACAGCGAGGTGCCAGTACTTCTGTCGGCACGTCGCAGGAAGAGCGGGACCGCAATGTGTTGCGTCTCGCTCCAGAAAAGAAGGCATGGATGCCTCCTAAATCTGTCATGGATCACTTGTCGGCGACGACGAGTGATCGTTATCGAACACGATTGTTCGATTCGTCGAGGATTCATCACTTGACCCCAGCGCGAAAGACTATCGCGCTGAACATGAGTTCTTCATCGATGCTTTCTTCAGACATCGATGGTACAGTGGGAATCACAAACGTGATGGTCCCTCACTACTTCAGGCGTGGAACGCCTACATCCATAATCTCGAGGATGTAGGTCGTGACGCTTGGAACGACAAACTTATCAAAGCTCGTGATAAGTTTGAAAAGCGAACCCCGACAGGTGCACGCTACAAGCTGCATCGTCTGTCAAGGGAGAAAGGATTACCCTGCCTCTCTTGGGGAGACTCGTGCCCATGTTGTGTGAACAACTCTGCACGAGCACCTAAGGAGGCTTACCTCCTTACCAGCCCGTGGTGGCGCGTACGTGTCTCTACTGAGATGTACGAAGGGATTGACAACCTGAAATCCCTTTACGACCGTGCCGGGAAGACTTTCTCCGGCGGTCCTTCTGCGGCACAGGATGTGTCGCGTCGTACTGCTCGACCAGACCCAGTACGTCAACCATCAATTGGGAGCGGGGCTCCCAAGAATCCCAGGACGGGGGATAGTTGGCGCCACCGGACGAGGTAACTCGTCCGACGTCCAGTTCACGTCGCGGTGGTTCAACAGCTGCTCTACTAGATAGCGCTGGCCACCGCGAGAGTCCTCTAATGGAGGTGGAGGAGGAGGAAAGACGCTCTCCACACGATCATGTGGATCGGTGTGTTCCCGAGAGCTTTTTGATCGCGTAACGCAAGGGTTACGCGACGATCTCGAGCATGAGCGGAATAGGCGTCTCCAGATGGTGGACACTGCCTCGAAGCATCGAGCTGAGTTTGCCTTTGCTCAGCTTGAGAACGAGAGATCTCTGACATCTCTTCGTGACGAGCTAAGGGTAGCTCGTGGGATTGTTGATCGGTCTCGGGCTGAGATAACTGCTCTTCAGACCCTTGTTGATGCCCACCATCGGGAGCACAAGGCTCTCTGCGAGATGCTTGAGCGCAAGGGCGTTCTTCATCGGAAGAAGCAGCGTACTGATGGTACGGCTTAAGCCGACCAACGTAAAACGTGGGATGCGTTCGCATCTTACGTGGTAACTCGATCGTGTATGCATTGCCTAGGCGGTGCAATACACGAAATGGGCCAATGTACTTGGGTAGTAGTTTACTGCTACCCAAGTTAGTCACTACATGTTTTGGTAGATTAACCGTAGACAGTAGGACTAAGTCACCTTTATTAAATAAAAGAGTGTTTGCCCTTCCATTCTTGTCAGCGTTTTGCTTTTGCTTATCCACCGCTTCGGCGATGGAGTCTTGCACAAAACGGACTACCGTTTCACGAGCCAGTATGAACTCATCTGATGACTCGTTAGCTTCAGTGTGCTGTGAGCGCACTGCAGCGACAACAACCTTTTCTTCAGTGAGGGCTTCCGCACTCTCACTGGGATCATTGTCTTCAGTGAGGGCTTCCGCACTCTCACTGGCATCATCTTCTTCGATATCGATGTTATCGATATCGGCATCAAACGCAATGACTTCTTCGTCAGAGCGTGATGAGCGTGAACCAAATCGGTTTTTGCTCGCGCGAGTCCCTCCCCCCCTTAAACCAGAGTTACACTCTAGTAAGGTGGGTACACGCGGATGGCGCAAGCCATTCACGTAAAACGGTGTATGTGTCGTGGACGCATGCACCGAGTTGTTGATGGCAAACTCTACCATTGGCAAAAACTCACTCCAACTCTTAAAGGAGTGTACGTATCCTCGAAGTATCTCTTCAAGGACACGATTGGCACGTTCCGTCTGACCATCTGACTCTGGATGATCAGATGTTGACATCTTCAAGCGCGTTCCGAGTGATTTGAACACGGAACGCCAGAAATCAGCAGTGAATCGTGGATCTCTGTCTGATACGAGTTCACGGGGCAACCCATGAAGTCGGAAGATGGTGTCAATAAAGACACAAGCACAGCCACTTGCCGTGATTGTCTCTGGTACAGCCACAAGGTGTACCATTTTGCTGAATCTGTCAACAAATACGAGAATACCCGTATTCCCGCGTGCGTCTTTGGGTAACCCGAAGACGAAATCCATTGAGATGGATTCCCAGCACTCAGCCGGAACCGGTAGAGGCTGTAAAGGTGCACGCAGTGAAGGACTTGACTTCACTCGTTGGCAGACTTCGCATGCGCGAACATACTTTCGCACAAACTGATACTGGCGGGGCCAGTAAAAGTCTCGACTTACCGTGAGATATGTTTTCTCTCGGCCACGATGTCCTCCTATAGGAGCATCGTGATACTCGAACATGATCCGCAAACGCAGATCAGTATCATCTGGAATGACAACACGTGGTGTGTCACCAGAAACGGCTGTATAGTACAGTAAACCGTTACGAGTAGTGTATCGATCTGATGCAGATCGATACGCAGACGACAATCGTTTCAACGATTCTCGAGATGGTTGGGAGAGATGTGACAACAACTTCACTATCTCACCATCTTGGGCGTATGCCCGCCTCACATCATCATACAACGTTGTAGATGGAACTGAGGACGTCATAACCGCAACAGTGACTGTCTCACTGTTGGGTTTCGCGACTGTTTCAAAGTCGGGACGACGTGAGAGTGCATCAGCGACGACATTAAGTCGTCCTGGTTTGTACTCGACCGTAAAGTTGTATTCTGCAAAGAATGACAACCACCGCGCCATTCGTTGTGAAAGGTGTGGGCTGTTCACTGCCGTGCGTAAGGACGCATGGTCAGTGTAAACAACGAAGGGTCTATCTCCTAATAGATAGACTCTGAACTTCGCGAGTGCATACTTCATGGCAAGGAGTTCCTTGTCATGCACTGGATAGTTCCGCTCAGCTGGTTGCAGCTGACGCGACTGATAGCAGACGACGCGTTCAACGCCTTCAAGATCGTACTGCATTAATGCACAGCCGATTGCGAAATCGCTGGCATCACAGACCACATGAAATGGCCTGTCCTGATCGGCTATTGCTAGGACTGGGGATTGTATCAAGCTCTGCTTGATACCATCAAAGGAGCGTTGACATTCAGCGTTCCATAACCACCTCTCGTTCTTTTTCAACAAACGAGAGAGGTGTACAGTCATCTCGGCGTAATTGCGTGAATACTTATGCAAATACGCCGCTAGCCCAAGGAATTTTCGAAGACCTTTGACATCGACCGGCACGGGCCAGTCGGTGATCGCCTTGATCTTTTCGGGATCAGGACGTACACCGTTCTTACCAACGATGCACCCAAGAAGTGGTATTTCGCTTGCTGCAAATATACACTTCTTGAGGTTTGCATACAATTGATGCTTTCGCATGATTGTAAGAACTTGTCGGACGTGGTACTTGTGAACCTCAACGTCCGACTTTCCATCCATAGCTCGACTATGGATGAATACGTCATCGAAATAACTCGGCGCGAATTCTCGTACTGGCCTCAACAGATGTGATACACACCTGTTGAACGTGGCAGGGGCATTACTGAGCCCTTGTGGCATTACTAGCCATTCCCAGAGCATGCCGCTAGGCGTGCTAACTGCGGTATAGGGTATATCCCGTTCCCGCATTAGGATTTGATAGAAGCCATCCATCAAATCCATGGACGAAAAGATGGTACTCTTTGACATACCATCAATGATTACGTCCTTCCTCGGTATCGGCGTCTGAGCCGGTACCGTTGCAGCGTTCAATTTGTTAAACGCGTGCACTATCCGCCACCCTCCTGTTGCTTTTCGCACACAGAAGGTCGGAGAGCTATGTGGGGAAGTTGATTCCCTCACATGGCCTGGCTGCTAAACGATCGGCAAAGAACTTGTCGATCGCAAGTACTTGTTCACGAGGCAGTGGCCACTGCTTCATGACACAGTACTTCGAGCCTGGTTTAAGCTCGACTTCGTGTCGAATACCTTTATCCTTCGGTAATTCGCACGGAACAGTTTCAGGGAATACATCCTTGAATTCAACCAAATCTTCATAGAGAGGATTTGTCCTTGAGCGATTCCCATGATTGGGACTCATATCGCTCAATTCGTGTCTTTTCATCTAGGACACTCTCGTCCATAGATGAACTACTGAGAACTCTCTCGTTCTCAGTAAACACTGTTGCTGACCTTATGTCGGTTACATACTCGTCTTCAGCGACGAGTATGCAGATCTGCTTGACTTTGCCACTACGCAGATCACGCAAGAATCTTTTATGTTCGAGCGTTGGCAACTGAGTGATCTCCGAAGTTAACTTCGGAGGCGCAATCAGATCAAGTGTATAAGCGCCTACACATGATCCGTTATTGACTATGACATTCAATGTCTCTGTCATTTCCTGGGGACTTATTCCCTCAGGCTTCGAAGGACTTATTCCTTCGTCTTCCCGGGGACTTATTCCCGCGGGTTTCGGGGAACTTATTTCCGCCGTATTTGTAATCTTGGGACTTATTCCCTTTACTTCCTCTAGCTGGGGTTGCGCAACCACAGCGAGATCCTCTACGAAAGACTCTCCAGTCGATCTAGGATTATCGTTTCGCTTAACCTGAGCGATCGATTGTTTCTCTTCTAGATGTTCCCCTCTAGGGATACATCTTTGTCCCAGTCCACCCGACTTATTCGAGTGGTGGACCTTCGGCGCAGCCTGTGTTTCCTCACAGCCGCCGGAACTTTGCTCCGAAGTGTAACCGTTTGGTACACTAAGGTTTTGTGCAGTCGTACTAACGACCGTACCACAAGTGAGGCCATCGCACTCACTCGTAGTACATCCACACGCTTGTGGACGCCTCCAAAACGTTCATCAGATGGCCATCTGATGAACAAGCGGCAGGCATCGTTACTGTCCGATGTTGCCAGTTTACCCGTGGTTCGTACCTTCTGAGCCACGGTATTCCAAGGATGACATCAAATTTGTCATCCAAATCCAATACGATAAAGTCATCGTCGTATTGGGTATCTTCTAGCGTATAGTGAATCTTCACTATACGCTTCATGACGGTTACGGATGCGCCTGTCGCAAGACGTACCGTCATCCTCGTAGGAGGTGTGTCACATTCACTGAATTTAAAGTGACCATCTTCTAGCGATTGGCGTCGCACAAAATTGTTGGACGCCCCACAATCGACTAGAGCTCGAAGGGACAACTTATTCGTCACTTCGAGTTTCAAGGTAATGAGTGAGATCTCATTACCTAGAGCAGCAACGCACAATGTCTGTGTGTTGGGAGCAACCTTCATCAAGAGGCCTACAAATTCTCTTGACGTTGCTGGATCAGTAGGGTGCTCCGCACCTACTGATCCTGTCCGTTTTTTGACGGTCCATCCCGTTGTTGCGTCTTTGCACCAACTGCGGACCCTCGTCCCTGCCCCTTTCTCATGGGTGGACGGTCACTACGCCCAGTGTCGCGAGACACTGGACGAGGGGCACTACACTCGTAAGCGTAGTGTCCTGTCTTTTGACATCTGTTGCATCTCTGCAACTTCTTGTAGCCTGTAGAGCGAGCCTTCTCGCTCTCTACATAACAGAGTTCCATCGGCTCTGGACCTCCGTTGTCATATCGTCTCGGCTGACGATATGATGTCGAGCTGGCGCGAGCCTGTCTCAGACTGAAGTCTTCCTGCTCCGCAATTGAAATGGCTTGTTCTAGTGAATCTAGTTCAAGCCGGAACAGGTGAGTCTTGACGGGACCATCCGCAAGACCCTGCATGAACACCGAAACCAACGTGTGTTCATCCACCGGATTGGAACTTATACAACTCGTGAGATGTCGTATATGTTGAGCGTAAGCGTGCACATCACGCTTACCCTGCTTGAGCTTCAAGAGTTCGGTTCGAGCTCTGAACTCAGCTCTAGGCGGTTCAAACGTTTGTCTGAGCCGCGACTTGAAGACTTCCAACGACCCAAACGCATATGGGTCGTGCAGCTTGAGCCCCAGTGCCCAAGTCTTGGCACGTCCTGCCAGATTTGACTGGGCAAATGCAACTTGCATATCCCCGTCGTCGATGCGACGCGCCCTTATGGCGTCATCCACCTCGACGAACCATCTCAAGAGGGAGTCTTCTTCGACCCCCCTATACTTTGAGATGTCAATCTTCAAAGTCTCGGGCCGACGCGAGTGCATCGACCCGCCAGCAGCAGCCTGCTGCTGTCTCAACAGTTCAAACTGTTGAGCACCTTGTTCTCTCAACAACTCTGCTTGTTGAGAACCTTGTTGGTGAAGCAAGGCTACTTTCTCGCGTTCTGCGTCAAGTTCATTTTGAATGAACTTGGCGATAGTAGCATGTTGGGCATCTCTATTGAGAGCCTCTAGCATGACGCTAACAGCATGGATGCCCATGGTCGAACCCATTCGTTCAACCGCATCCCATTCGACATCGCTCAAATGGGAGTAGCCGTCACGCGTAGCGTGAAAGCTTTGGTCATCTTCATCATCCAACATATTCATGTTGGATGTGAACGCGGTCCTTGGACGGACTACGAAGTGCTACCAGGTGTAACGGGGCACCCTGAAGCTTGTACTGGTGACAGTACAAGCTACTTATTCTGATAACAGAATAAGGCGGTGCCTCGTAACTTCACGTACACTCGTACGTGCAGAGGAAGACGGTAAGAAGAAGCGAGTACTTGGTTAGAGTAAAAAGTAGAACTGTATTTATAATAGTTAATGTCTGCAATAAATCACTATTTATCTTCATCTAACTATGTCTAAATACAAATGTGTAAATCAGTTATCTGCTCACCACTCATTGCGTGCGTCTGTCGTGGCGCGTCTTCGTTGGTTGATATAATGGCCTATATCAACCAATTAGGAACTACTTGGAAGTGCTACAGAATATTGTCCTTATGACAATATTCTGAGAATATAACTCTTATAGTTATATTCTATTAACAATTTCTTATAAATTGTTATGTAACGATTCACCCCGTTACACACTGCCCCTCGAGGACTGGTGAAGCATCAGCTGGGCCAGATATTGCACTGTTACAAATACTTGTCGATAGTCTCAGTGCTTCCATCGTTAGCCGATACTGAGGCTTACATCTGGATAGCATTAAGGATGTGAATCTTTGCCGGCTGTGAACTACACCATTGTCAAGATCTGAAGGAGCTACGGTTGAAGCTGCGTCGGTAGTATGATTTGAGTTTCGTATGATTCCTCGGTCACTAGGCTGGAGTCTTGATGTCATATTGAATAAAGGCTAGTGGACTGTCGTGTTGCGAAATGCGCACCGCTGGGGCAGTTTAGCAAGAGGGACGTGTGTGCTGCAGTTGTCCAGCATCTGCAACACCTTGCGGATTGCCATATTTTAATCAAAGTTCCTTCGCCACTCCAAGAAGATGATTTGTGTCATCCGGGCTTTCTTTTTGCTGCGTTACTGACAGGCAAGGTTCGGGAGATTGACATGGCGGAAGCAGCGAGGAGTGGCGTACTTGCCCATGATCTACAGGGGCATTTTGTCGGACCCATTTACCGTTGCAGCAGACAGCCACAGTAATTCGTTCCTTATTTTGCTTCCTTCGCTCCAGTTGCCGCGTTCTTAATGAATTGTTAGCCTGAAACATAAGAGATACTTTAGTCAAGATACGATAAAAGGTTTGACGTCCTTTGCACAGCGCTTACATGCATTCGACAGAACAATCCAGTCTCATCTGTGGTGGAGTGGTGATCGCTCATTTCTTGAGACGATTCAGACTCTCCACTGGCGCCAAGACGACCAACGAACGGAGAGGGTACTCCGATATCGTGTAGAGTGCGATCCTCACCTTGTGCAACCGTTGGTAGGTCGGGTTGCACTCTTACAGGTGGACTCGTCTCGAGGGAGAACATGACCGTGTCGGGGATGTCTCTGTGTGATCGGGCGAAAATCTTTGCACGATCACTGGGGTTTCGGTGGGGTACCGATATAAGTTACCCTGATCTCAGCAAGATCGTCTTGACCACTGTGTGGGTTCTTAATCCGCAAGCCTTCTGACCACTTGAGCCGCCTCGCGATCATGTGCCTTTCCTTTACGTGTCTTGCTGCGTCCGATCGCATTTGTAGTTGCCTAAAATTCTTAAATGCACCTGGCCAAACATTTCAGGTGCGACACTTATATAGATGGGTAACACGACTTTTTATGCTTTGGGAGGCCAATGATCCTACCCGGAAGAGGCTGTGTGCGTCTTATGAATGTAACGGGGCACCCTGAAGCTTGTACTGGTAACAGTACAAGCTACTTATTCTGATGACAGAATAAGGCGGTGCCTCGGAACTTCACGTACACTCGTACGTGCAGAGGAAGAAGGTAAGGAGACGCGAGTACTTGGTTAAAGTAAAAAGTAGAACTGTATTTATAATAGTTAATGTCTGCAATAAATCACTGTTTATCCTCATCTAACTATGTCTAAATACAAATGTGCATATCAACTATCTACTCACCACTCATTGCGTGCGTCTGTCGTGGCGCGTCTTCGTTGGTTGATATAATGGCCTGTATCAACCAATTAGGAACTACTTGTAAGTGCTACAGAATATTGTCCTTATGACAATATTCTGAGAATATAACTCTTTCAGTTATATTCTATTAACAATTTCTTATAAATTGTTATGTAACGATTCAACCCGTTACATCACCCCCCCTTAACCATCAGTCACTTTAGTGACTGATTGACTAAATGGATACTCGTCCCAAATCATTTGGGACAGGGTTTGCACTTGTTGGTCCGAGTCCACTTTCCAACATATCATCGCAGGGTTAACAAGCCCATGCGATGCGCGAGCAAGGCCGCCGAGAGCGCGTCCGCACGTCTCTGTGCGGGCGCCGAAGCAGAAACCACAGCAACTGATGTCTCATCGGTTGCTGAAGCGACCCAGCCTGTGTCACTTGGTGATGCAGGCGCTCGTCATAAAGACACTCATGTCTTCACAGAGTACGAGCTCGGTGTCTCGTACTCTCCTGATACGGATGACGGATCCGTATCGACGGCGATCGAATCCAAGCCGCCTGCCAAGCGTGGCATGGATGATGCTTTGCGTCGCAGCATCTTTGGTTCATCTGATTCATCAGATGAACCATCGCTGAAGCGAAGGCGCTCGAGGTCGCGAGACTCGGGCGCTCACAGTGGTGTCGGTTCTCCTATGGACACCACTTCGCAACGAGGTGCCAGTACTTCTGTCGGCACGTCGCAGGAAGAGCGGGACCGCAATGTCTTGCGTCTCGCTCCAGAAAAGAAGGCATGGATGCCTCCAAAATCCGTCATGGATCACTTGTCGGCGACGACGAGTGATCGTTATCGAACACGGGTGTTCGATTCGTCAAGGATCCATCACCTTGACCCCAGTGCGAGAAACTATCGCGCTGAACATGAATTCTGCATCGATGCTTTCTTCAAACATCGATGGTACAGTGGGAATCACAAACGTGATGGTCCCTCACTACTTCAGGCGTGGAACGCCTACATCCATAACCTCGAGGATGTAGGTCGTGACGCTTAGAACGACAAACTTATCAAAGCTCGTGATAAGTTTGAAAAGCGAACCCCGAAAGGTGCACGCTACAAGCTGCATCGTCTGTCAAGGGAGAAAGGATTACCCTGCCTCTCATGGGGAGACTCGTGCCCATGTTGTGTGAACAACTCTGCACGAGCACCTAAGGAGGCTTACCTCCTTACTAGCCCTTGGTGGCGCGTACGTGTCTCTACTGAGATGTACGAAGGGATTGACAATCTGAAATCCCTTTACGACCGTGCCGGGAAGACTTTCTCCGGCGGTCCTTCTGCTGCACAGGATGTGCCGCGTCGTACTGCTCAACCAGACCCAGTACGTCGATCATCAGTTGGGAGCGGGGCTCCCAAGTTTCCCAGGACGGGGGATAGCCGCGCCACCGGACGAGATAACTCGTCCGACGTCCGTTCACGTCGCGGTGGTTCAACAGCTTCTCAACTAGATAGCGCTGGCCACCGCGAGAGTCCTCTAATGGAGGTGGAGGAGGAGGAAAGACGCTCTCCACACGATCATGTGGATCGGTGTGTTCCCGAGAGCTTCTTTGATCGCGTAACGCAAGGGTTACGCGACGATCTCGAACATGAGCGGGACAGGCGTCTCCAAATGGCGGACACTGCCTCGAAGCATCGAGCTGAGTTTGCCTTTGCTCAGCTTGAGAACGAGAGATCTCTGACATCTCTTCGTGACGAGCTAAGGGTAGCTCGTGGGATTGTTGATCGGTCTCGGGCTGAGATAACTGCTCTTCAGACCCTTGTTGATGCCCACCATCGGGAGCACAAGGCTCTCTGCGAGATGCTTGAGCGCAAGGGCGTTCTTCATCGGAAGAAGCAGCGTACTGATGGTACGGCTTAAGCCGACCAACGTAAAACGTGGGATGCGTTCGCATCTTACGTGGTAACTCGATCGTGTATGCATTGCCTAGGCGGTGCAATACACGAAATGGGCCAATGTACTTGGGTAGTAGTTTACTGCTACCCAAGTTAGTCACTACATGTTTTGGTAGATTAACCGTAGACAGTAGGACTAAGTCACCTTTATTAAATAAAAGAGTGTTTGCCCTTCCATTCTTGTCAGCGTTTTGCTTTTGCTTATCCACCGCTTCGGCGATGGAGTCTTGCACAAAACGGACTACCGTTTCACGAGCCAGTATGAACTCATCTGATGACTCGTTAGCTTCAGTGTGCTGTGAGCGCACTGCAGCGACAACAACCTTTTCTTCAGTGAGGGCTTCCGCACTCTCACTGGGATCATTGTCTTCAGTGAGGGCTTCCGCACTCTCACTGGCATCATCTTCTTCGATATCGATGTTATCGATATCGGCATCAAACGCAATGACTTCTTCGTCAGAGCGTGATGAGCGTGAACCAAATCGGTTTTTGCTCGCGCGAGTCCCTCCCCCCCTTAAACCAGAGTTACACTTTAGTAAGGTGGGTACACGCGGATGGCGTAAGCCATTCACGTAAAACGGTGTATGTGTCGTGGACGCATGCACCGAGTTGTTAATGGCAAACTCTACCATTGGCAAAAACTCACTCCAACTCTTAAAGGAGTGTACGTATCCTCAAAGCATCTCTTCAAGGACACGTTCGGCACGTTCCGTCTGACCATCTGACTCTGGATGATCAGATGTCGACATCTTCAAGCGCGTCCCGAGTGATTTGAACACTGAACGCCAGAACTCAGCAGTGAATCGTGGATCTCTGTCTGATACGAGTTCACGGGGCAACCCATGAAGTCGGAAGATGGTGTCAATAAAGACACAAGCACAGCCACTTGCCGTGATTGTCTCTGGTACAGCCACAAGGTGTACCATTTTGCTGAATCTGTCAACAAATACGAGAATACCCGTATTCCCGCGTGCGTCTTTGGGTAACCCGAAGACGAAATCCATTGAGATGGATTCCCAGCACTCAGCCGGAACCGGTAGAGGCTGTAAAGGTGCACGCAGTGAAGGACGTGACTTCACTCGTTGGCAGACTTCGCATGCGCGAACATACTTTCGCACAAACTGATACTGGCGGGGCCAGTAAAAGTCTCGACTCACCGTGAGATATGTTTTCTCCCGGCCACGATGTCCTCCTATAGGAGCATCGTGATACTCGAACATGATCTGCAAACGCAGATCAGTATCGTCTGGAATGACAACACGTGGTGTGTCACCAGAAACGGCTGTATAATACAGTTAACCGTTGCGAGTAGTGTATCGATCTGATGCAGATCGATACGCAGGCGACAATCGTTTCAGCGATTCTCGAGATGGTTGGGAGAGATGTGTCAACAACTTCACTATCTCACCATCTTGGGCGTATGCCCGCCTCACATCATCATACAACGTTGTAGATGGGACTGAGGACGTCATAACCGCAACAGTGACTGTCTCACTGTTGGGTTTCGCGACTGGTTCAAAGTCGGGACGACGTGAGAGTGCATCAGCGACGACATTAAGTCGTCCTGGTTTGTACTCGACCGTAAGGTTGTATTCTGCAAAGAATGACAACCACCGCGCCATTCGTTGTGAAAGGTGCGGGCTGTTCACTGCCGTGCGTAATGACGCATGATCAGTGTAAACAATGAAGGGTCTATCTCCTAATAGATAGACTCTGAACTTCGCGAGTGCATACTTCATGGCAAGGCGTTCCTTGTCATGCACTGGATAGTTCCGCTCAGCTGGTTGCAGCTGACGCGACTGATAGCAGACGACGCGTTCAACGCCTTCAAGATCGTACTGCATTAATGCACAGCCGATTGCGAAATCGCTGGCATCACAGACCACATGAAATGGCCTGTCCTGATCGGCTATTGCTAGGATTGGGGATTGTATCAAGCTCTGCTTGATAACATCTAAGGAGCGCTGACATTCAGCGTTCCATAACCACCTCTCGTTCTTTTTTAACAAAAGAGAGAGGTGTACAGTCATCTCGGCGTAATTGCGTGAATACTTATGCAAATACGCCGCTAGCCCAAGGAATTTTCGAAGACCCTTGACATCAACTGGCACAGGCCAGTCGGTGATCGCCTTGATCTTTTCGGGATCAGGACGTACACCGTTCTTACCAACGATGCACCCAAGAAGTGGTATTTCGCTTGCTGCAAATATACACTTCTTGAGATTTGCATACAATTGATGCTTTCGCATGATTGCAAGAACCTGTCGGACGTGGTACCTTTGAACCTCAACGTCCGACTTTCCATCCATAGCTCGACTATGGATGAACACTTAACCGAAATAACTCGGCGCGAATTCTCGTACTGGTCTCAACAGATGTGATACACATCTGTTGAACGTGGATGGGGCATTACTAAGCCCTTGTGGCAAAACTAGCCATTTCCAGAGCATGCCGCTAGGCGTGCTAACTTCGGTATAGTGTATATATCGTTCTCGCGTAAGGATTTGATAGAATCCATCCATCAAATCCATGGACGAAAAGATGGCACTCTTTGACATACCATCAATGATTACGTCCTTCCTCGGTATCGGCGTCTGAGCCGGTACCGTTGCAGCGTTCAATTTGTTTAACGTTTGCACTATCCGCCACCCTCCTGATGCTTTTCGCACACAGAAGATCGGAGAGCTATATGGGGAAGTTGATTCCCTCACATGGCCCGCAGCTAAACGATCGGCAAAGAACTTGTTGATCGCAAGTACTTGTTCACGAGGCAGTGGCCACTGCTTCATGACACAGTACTTCGAGCCTGGTTTAAGCTCGACCTCGTGCCGAGTACCTTTATCCTTCGGTAATTCGCACGGAACAGTTTCAGGGAATACATCCTTGAATTCAACCAAATCTTCATAGAGAGGATTTGTCTTGAGCGATTCCCACGATTGGGAGTCATATCGCTCAACTAGTGTCTTTTCATCGAGGACACTCTCGTCCATAGATGAACTACTGAAAACTCTCTCGTTCTCAGTAAACACTGTTGCTGACCTTATGTCGGCTACACACTCGTCGTCAGCGACGAGTACGCAGATCTGCTTGACTTTGCCACTACGCAGATCACGCAAGAACCTTTTATGTTCGAGCGTTGGCAACTGAGTGATCTCCGAAGTCAACTTCGGAGGCGCAATCAGATCAAGTGTATAAGCGCCTACACTTGATCCGTTATTGACTATGACATTCAATGTCTCTGTCATTTCCTGGGGACTTATTCCCTCAGGCTTCGAAGGACTTATTCCTTCGGCTTCCCGGGGACTTATTCCCGCGGGTTTCGGGGAACTTATTTCCGCCGTATTTGTAATCTTGGGACTTATTCCCTTTACTTCCTCTAGCTGGGGTTGCGCAACCACAGCGAGATCCTCTACGAAAGACTCTCCAGTCGATCTAGGATTATCGTTTCGCTTAACCTGAGCGATCGATTGTTTCTCTTCTAGATGTTCCCCGCTAGGGATACATCTTTGTCCCGGTCCACTCGACTTATTCGAGTGGTGGACCTTCGGCGCAGCCTGTGTTTCCTCACAGCCGCCGGAACTTTGCTCCGAAGTGTAACCGTTTATTACACTAAGGTTTTGTGCAGTCGTACTAACGACCGTATTACAAGTGAGGCCATCGCACTAACTCGTAGTACATCCACACGCTTGTGAACGCTCCAAAACGTTCATCAGATGGCCATCTGATGAACAAGCGGCAGGCATCGTTACTGTTCGATGTTGCCAGTTTACCCGTGGTTCGTACCTTCTGAGCCACGGTATTCCAAGGATGACATCAAATTTGTCATCCAAATCCAATACGATAAAGTCATCATCATATTGGGTATCTTCTAGCGTATAGTGGATCTTCACTATGCGCTTCATGACGGTTACAGATGCGCCTGTCGCAAGACGTACCGTCATCCTCGTAGGAGGTGTGTCACATTATCTGAATTTAAAGTGACCATCTTCTAGCGATTGGCGTCGCACAAAATTGTTGGACGCCCCACAATCGACTAGAGCTCGAAGGGACAACTTATTCGTCACTTCGAGTTTCAAGGTAATGAGTGAGACCTCATTACCTAGAGCAGCAACGCACAACGTCTGTGTGTTGGAAGCAACCTTCATCAAGAGGTCTACAAATTCTCTTGACGTTGCTGGACCAGTAGGGTGCTCCGCACCTACTGATCGTGTCCGTTTCTTTACGGTCCATCCCGTTGTTGCGTCTTTGCACCAACAGCGGACCCGCGTCCCTGCCCTTTCGCATGGGTGGACGGTCACTACGCCCAGTATCGCGAGACACTGGACGAGGGGCACTACACTCTTAAGCGTAGTGTCCTGTCTTTTGACATCTGTTGCATCTCTGCAACTTTTCGTAGTCTGTAGAGCGAGCCTTCTCGCTCTCTACATAACAGAGTTCCATCGGCTCTGGACCTCCGCTGTCATATCGTCTCGGTTGACGATATGATGTCGAGCTGGCGCGAGCATGTCTCAGACTAAAGTCTTCCTGTTCCGCAATGGAAATGGCTTGTTCTAGTGAATCTAGTTCAAGCCGGAACCGGTGAGCCTTGACGGGACCATCCGCAAGACCCAGCATGAACACCGAGACCAACGTGTGTTCATCCACCGGATTGGAACTTATACAACTCGTGAGATGTCGTATATGTTGCGCGTAAGCGTGCACATCACGCTTACCTTGTTTGAGCTTCAAGAGTTCAGTTCGAGCTCTGAACTCAGCTCTAGGCGGTTCAAACGTTTGTCTGAGCCGCGACTTGAAGACTTCCAACGACCCAAACGCATATGGGTCGTGCAACTTGAGCCCCAGTGCCCAAGTCTTGGCACGTCCTGCCAGATTTGACTGGGCAAATGCAACTTGCATATCCCCGTCGTCGATGCGACGCGCCCTTATGGCGTCGTCTAATTTGACAAACAATCTCAAGAGGGAGTCCTCTTCGACTCCCCTGTACTTTGAGATGTCAATCTTCAAAGTCTCGGGTCGACGCGAGTGCATCGACCCACCAGCAGCAGCCTGCTGCTGTCTCAACAGTTCAAACTGTTGAGCACCCTGTTCTCTCAACAACTCTGCTTGTTGAGAACCTTGTTGGTGAAGCAAGGCTACTTTCTCGCGTTCAGCGTCAAGTTCATTTTGAATGAACTTGGCGATAGTAGCATGTTGGGCATCTCTATTGAGAGCCTCTAGCATGACGCTAACAGCATGGATGCCCGTGGTTGAACCCATCCGTTCAACCGCATCCCATTCGACATCGCTCAAATGGGAGTAGCCGTCACGCGTAGCGTGAAAGCTTTGGTCATCTTCATTATCCAACATATTCATATTGGATGTGAACGCGGTCCTTGGACGGACTACGAAGTGCTACCAGGTGTAACGGGGCACCCCGAAGCTTGTACTGGTGACAGTACAAGCTACTTAACCTGATGACAGAATAAGGCGGTGCCTCGGAACTTCACGTACACTCATACGTGCAGAGTAAGACGGTAAGAAGAAGCGAGTACTTGGTTAAAGTAAAAAGTAGAACTGTATTTATAATAGTTAATGTCTGCAATAAACCACTGTTTATCCTCATCTAACTATGTCTAACTACAAATGCGTAAATCAACTATCTACTCACCACTCATTGCGTGCGTCTGTCGTGGCGCGTCTTCGTTGGTTGATATAATGGCCTGTATCAACCAATTAGGAACTACTCGTAAGTGCTACAGAATATTGTCCTTATGACAATATTCTGAGAATACAACTCTTATAGTTATATTCTATTAACAATTTCTTATAAATTGTTATGTAACGATTCACCCCTTTACAATGAAGCAAATTGAAATCTCTTTAATGCTAGCCAATTGACCTATAATCTATCCCTCTGCATTATCCGTACATCCTAACCGGATGCTACGCATCCCTGTTCCAGGAAGATCATCCTCTCGTATTGGTGTGGCCCACATCAGGTCTATCGGCAGTCGAATATTTTTGTGGTCCACCCGAGATATCACCAACAGTTTAACCCGGGTCCTAATCCCAGGTCCGGATCGTGATCTTGGGTCCGTATAGTGATCTTGGTCCGGATCGCCATCCTAGGTCCGAGTCGTGATCCTGGTCCGGGTCGTGATCTTGGGTCTGGATCGCGATCTTAAGTCCGGATCGTGATCTTGGGTGCGGATCGTGGTCTTGGGTCCGGTTCGTGATCTTGGGTATGGATCGCGATGCTAGGTCCTGATAGTGATCTTGGGTGCGGATCGTGGTGCTGGGTCCGGATCATGATCCTAATCCAGGATCGTGATCCCTAGTTGAGATATCACGAATCTTTTTTTGCCCTGTCTCACGATGAATCACGCATTTCAACTGGTCCCACTGTAATTTTGCCTTGTTTCAAGTAATATGATTATTGCTAATTGGGGGTAGGTGCGCTGTTGCTAGCCACCAGTTCTGGTTTGTGTTCACTAATCATAACGCTATGGACCGAGCTATGGTGTGCGATGTGCCCAGTCCTTCTCTTTAAATAAAAGATTAATTTCCTTGTGACCGCTTTGCCACACATCCATTTGTAGATACATCCAATTGTAATGATTGAGGACCTCACGTCGAGAAGAAAGTGCATCCTCCACCGCAACCATATCCATCTTCGCTCTCCCCGAATCGGTGATATGAGCGTATTCCGTTGCGAGCGTTAGAGGATTCCAGCCATCCATTTAAAAATCGAAACGGCTCATGTCCTGGACGAAGATACCTAAAAATCAGCTTGCCAGTTGAAAGACAAGTTCTCTGATGACATTGATGCAAGACTGTTGGGCAATAAACCAATTTAAAAGAGCCGATTTCATCAGCGAATACCTGACGGAACGCTGACGTTTGAAATTCATGTTGCTTCCTCTGGAAGCCGAAGAAGCATGTCCTTCCTCTTCAGCGTGTTGGAAAATTTTGTCAGTCTGACCCGTAGCCAATGGTTGTCCTGTAGCCAATTGACAAGATGAGCCTGAGTCAGTGCCGGATGTTTGGCATGATATTTGCACAGAGCCACACGGACATCGTATGTCATTGGGGTGTGCCGTGCTCCTCTCAGAGGCATTGTTGATATGCTGCTGAGTTGTTCTAGGGGAATCAGGAGGAAGGTCTGAAGACGTAGGCTGAGTACTGGAATGTTAACGAAAAGTGAATATACTCAGGTCTTTTGTTCACAAACTCCTATTGCTTCTTAAAGCCCGATGGATTCTTTCAGCCTATACGTTAGCAATCGCCACATTGCGCATTGCTTGTTCGTCTAGTCGTACGTATCTAATTCTGGTCGTGAGTTTTACAACACCAAATCTTACCTAAAGTGGAGGACAACAAGTCTGGAAGGACGGTGCTGGTGACCTCCAAAACCAGACCCGAAGGTTTAACTTTCTCGTCTATGTTCCATATTGGTATCTAGCCAGTGACCATCGGGTTAGCACTTTCGTACCAAACTGGCTGAGCTAAAAAACACTTTAATAAAAAAAGACCTTATACTCATTCAAACAGCTCTCTAAAAAAGAAATAAACTTATTAGTTAAAGGAGTGCTGCAACATGTTCTTAATTAATACCTCTATAAATTACCAAGAAGAAACCTAGCATCATTAATTTCTACGGGTTCTATCGTATTTGACTCAGAGGTTAGGCAAAGAAAACGCTTATAAGCTTAAAAAGAGTGGACAGGGTGCGAAGTAGTTGCAACAGTGTGTTGTCGTGCATTGAAAATGAGAAGCTAAAACCGAATCCTCACCGAATGGAATATACGAAGCTGCAAGATTGTGCTGATTGTGGCAAGCCGTAGACTGGAACCTGCTTGTTAACGACAACAATTGTGCAAACGGACAATATTACTTAGGCAGATAGTACATAATTTAGACTGGAAGGAGATGCCAGTACTGCTTCTGTAACGGGGCACCCTTTTGCTTTAGTGGCCATGAAACTTTATGTACACTCGCAAGTGCAGAAGAAGGTAAATTTACTTTAAGTGCTAGTTTAAGTAAAGGTAAAAAGAGAATTGTGATTATTGCAATTAAGCTATTGTTATAACGTTAATCTTTATCTTGCTATATTAGTCTACGTTGTCGCATGACGACAAACTGCTCGCCACCCATTGCGCGCACCTAGCAGCGACTGATGGTTATCTTGGTTGACGTGTCTTTTATCAACTAATCTTTGAGCAGCGCATGAATAGTATCCTACAAGGGGATAATAATCCTTCAGTATTATCTATATCAGGTGATATTGGCAGGAGATTCTCACGCTTAACAATCTCCATATTGACACCTTTTGGTGTCAATATAATGTAACGGGCTACCCCGTAACAGCTTTGCTGCTTAAAGCTCTGCAAGCTTAGACGCACCGGCATAGTCGTCCAGGAGGCTAAGCTCCGTTGGAGACAAAATGGGATGGTGCTTCCGACAAGACGGTTCGAAGCTACAACTTTTAATCAGGTATTAACAAACCAGTAGCAACTTTTAAGTCGGGTATTTGCTCGCATATAGTTAAATGTACGCCAGATTGCCGTGTGGCGCCAACAAATTGCGTAGCACTCATGATGGTACAAACAACAAATTCGAAAAATTATGAGATACGTCAAAATTGTATGAATTCTTTGACCATTGACCTGGAGAGAAATAACTTCAGTAGCCCTGATCGCGTCAATGCCGATTGCTACGCTTAATATTTTTGAAACATTGTCGCATTGGCCCAACGCAATAAATTGTTGTCGAATACTTGACAAAAGCATCTCGTGTCATATCAGCACACGAGTCAAATGGCAATGTCGCAGTAGTAATTGCACAAATGCAGACCACTAGAACTAGATAAGCGCACGGCGTAGTAGATTTGGAATATCACGCATATCAAACGATTTTACGCATATCAAACGATTTTATACACGAATACGTACAATCGAAGATCAGGGCAATATTATGTTGCCTTCGGGAGTTGTGCTGGGGTGATGTACAATAAAAATGCTCGCGACACCCGCCACGAAGATATAGAGTTGATTCCTAAAAACTTTCGATGCATGCTTTTGCGGTATGTGACGACGGGAAACATAATTTTTTTGTAAGTATACAGCTACGGCTCTTACAAAATTAGGGCTTGAGCCAGTACCATAAGTGAAATCGTCAACGTCAAGGATAGCGATATTCTCAATGCTCGACGACACGCACTATCGCTTGTAAAAATATGGACATTGAGTTTTATGAGGCTATCAAAGACAGTTGAAATAGCATTACAGCACCGTGTTAGTTGTACTGGATCTCGAACAAGCAATGTGATCAGTGGGAGCACTACCTCAGCCTCGCTACTTGGCACCTGCATGAAAAGGCCAGAAAAGCTACGAAAAATTAATTTACTGATTGCAACATCGTCGAGCTGGTATCTAGTACTCACAGAGCAATATTAGTCTAAACACTTGACTTTGAGTGTAACGGGCCCCCTTCGTTCGGGGTGCCACGAAACTTCACGTACACTAGTACGTGCAGAGAAGCTAATCTGCTCAAACAGCTAGTCTAAGTAAAGGGTAGAAAAGAGAACTGTACTTAATGTAGTAAAGCTATTAAGATATATTCAGTCTTTATCTTGCTAAACTAGTCTATGTTGTCGCATGACGACAACCTGCTCACCACTCGTTGCGCGCGCCTAGCAGCGATTGGTGGTAATCTTGGCTGACGTTTCTTTTATCAATTAATCTTTGAGCAGCGCAGGAATTTAATGTATCTCGGATAAGTTGCTAGAGAATTGTCATGCTAGACAATCTCCTTGTTGACACTGTTTGGTTTCAATATCATGTAACAGGCTACCCCGTTACATCACCCCCCCAACCTGCAATTACCTGTTGATTGAATAGAATTGATTGGGACAGGATGATCACCGTTGGATCACTTTGGGAAGGGGGCACTTTTTGGTCAAATTTCAACTCATTTGCCAATTTATCGCATGTTGTCAAATTCCAACTCATTTGCCAATTTATCGCATGTTGTCAAATTCCATGCGATGTTCTGCCGAAGCAGCAAGAAAGGAGGTTGTACGCATGCGTGCAGACGAAGAGGGTTCTTCTCTTGCTCCAGCAGCAGGTGGTCCTTCGCCTGCTGCTGCGGTTCAGCAACAGGCAGTGCTTGTTGTGAAGAGTCCACGTGGTGAGTCACCACGTGCGACAGATACATCTGCTGCGTCTGCAGCGGGTGGTGCTAATCGTTATGTAGATGAGCCTGAGATAGGGCTCATCTACTCTGGTGAATCGGATGATGCATCCGACTTAAAGGCGACACCTCACGCCTCCGGATCACCCGGGCGGACACTGCAAGAGCCAGGTTGACTGGCTTGGGGAACGTGGCGGCATCATGTGCGATATCTTCGGACTAAGCGATTCGTCTGACGAATCCTCATCTCATGCAAGCCCATCTGACGATAGGACACGTATTGAAGGTGGTGATGTACTTATGCATCACCACGAGAGAAGCAAATCGAGGGATCGAGCTGCCACTGGCGTCAGTGCTCATGCTGACACCACTCAAGAGGCCAGGGACCGAAATGTCCTGCGCCACGCTCCTCAAGTGAAGTCTCATTGGATGCCATCATCCAAGGAGTTAGATTGAGTGGCCGGTATGACCACCGAACAGGATCGAATCCCGTTGTTCGACTGTAGGAGGTCTGTCCTCCGAATTCCAGCATGGAAACCATCCGTGCTGAGGAAGAGTTCTTCACCGATGCATTTTCAAACATCGGTGGTACAACGGCAACCGTGGTCGAGACGGTAAGGCTTTGGTGCAAGGATGGAATGCCTTCATCCATAACATCGAGTGCATTGACTGTGAGGCCTGGCTCGATAAACTTGATGCAGCTCGCATCAGGCTTGAAAAATGTAATTTAGTCAGTGTACAATACAAGTTGCACCGACTGTCAAGAGAGGCAGGATTACCCTGTCTCTCGTGGGGTAATTCATGTCCAAGTTGCCCGGACAGCTCCTATCGTGCCCCTAGTAAGGCCTACCTCCCTAATGTTCCCTACTGGAGGGCGCGCATCTCTTCCGAGATGGCCTAAGGGATTGACACTTTGCAATCCCTGTACTCGCGCTCGGGTAGGTCGTATTCCGACGGCCCTTATTTGAACGCAGCGGGTGGGTCTCGTCATATTGCTCGACGAGACCCAGAACATCAACAAGCAGCTGGACGCGAGGCTCCCAGCTGTCCCAGGACGGTGGATAGCCACGCCAGAAGACGAGGTAACTCGTCTGGACGCCCTTCACGTTGAGGTTGTTTAAAAATAAGGTACGCCAGAAAACGTTGACCACCGCCAGAATCCACCGAAGGATGTGGTGGTGGCGGGAGTACCTGATCCGGCTCGAGGGTCGGATCAGCTTAAGGTTCAGGAACTGAACCGTGTAGTGAAACAGTCACACGAGGACTTGGCTCATGAACGGACTCGGTGTTATGAGCTTCATGGAATTGTAAAGGAAGATCAAATGGACTCGGCGTTATGAGCTTCATGACATTGTAATGGAAATCAAAATTTCTTGGAGCACGATCATTCAAACGATCGTGCTGCATTTTCGCTTGCACAACTTGAGAGCGAGAGTTCGACTCATTCTCTTCGTAACGAGCTGACTTAAGCTCGTCAGGAAATCGCTCAACTGCGTGAGCAGGTCGCTTCGCTAGTCGACCAGACTGGCCCGCTGAAATGAGATTACTTGAAGGTGGTTTCGTTCCTTGACCGCGGAGGTGTTCATCGCCTCTCGAAACGGGCTCGTACTGATAGTAAGTATGGAGACGTCCAATGCAAAACGAGATCGCGTACACATCCCACGAGGCGGTTCGATCGTGTATGCGCTGCCCATGCGGCGCAATACACGAAATGGACCGATGCACTTGGGCAGTAATTTACTGCTGCTCACTTTTGTCACTGCGTGTTTCGGTAGGTTTACTGTAGAAGGTAAAACTAAATCTCCTTCATTAAATGAAAGAACATTTGCTCTTTCATGGATGTATGCGTTTCTTTTCTGTCTGTCTAGTGCGCGCGAAGCGGTTGTCCGCTTCGTTCAAGACTCTACTGCAATAGAGTCTTGAACGAAGCGGACAACCGCTTCGCGAGTCAGCAGAAATTCCTCTGCTGATTCATCCTTGTCAACAGCAGTGCGCTTCGTGTGCACTGCTGAAAGAACGTTGTCTTCAACGGTGAGGGTGTCATCTCCCTCACTGTAGCAGTCATTGACGATGCTGAACATACCAGCATCGTCATCATTATCATCATCGATGTCGATGTGGTCGGCATCGGCATCCATCACGTCGACACCGTTGTCGACGTGTGATGAGCAAGAACCAGATCGGTTTTGGTTCGAGCGAGTCCAACCCCCACTTTTAACCAGAGTCACAATCTAAGAAGGCGGGTAAACGTGGATGACGTAGGCCATTCATGAAGAACGGTGTATGCGTTGTCGACGCATGCACCGAGTTGTTGATGGAGAATTACGCCATCGGCAAGAATTCACTCTAACTCGCAAACAAGTGGACGTAACCTCGAAGTATCTCTTCGAGGACGCGGTGACGCATTCCTTCTGACCATCTGTTTCAGGATGGTCAGAAGTCGACATCTTTAAACGTGTTTTTAGTGAACGAAACATGGATTGCCAGAACTCCGATGTGAAGCGGGGGTTCCTATCCGACACGAGTTCACGGGGCATCCCGTAAGGTCGGAAGATGGTATCAATGAAGACACGAGCACAGCCCTGAGCTGTGATTGACTCCGGTACAGCAACAAGATGTACTATCTTGCTGAACCGATCAACAAACACGAGAATGCCTGTATTCTTGTGAGCGTATTTGGGAATCTCGAAGACGAAGTCCATCGATACGGACTGCCAGCACTCAGCCAGAATTGGTATAGGCTGCAAGGGTGCACGGGACGAAGGACTAGGCTTCACTCGGTGGCAAACTTCGCAAGCCTGAATGCATTTGCGCAGAAACTCATACTGGCGGGGCCAGTTGAAGTCACGACTCACCATGAGGTAAGTCTTTTCTCTACCGCAATGCCGACTTGTTAAGGCATCGTGACACTCGTACATGATGCGTAGTCGCAAATCATCATGAGCGGGAACTACGGCACGAGGTGTGTCGCCGTTGTCTGCTGTATAGTACAGATGCAGCCAAGATGTGGTATTTCGTTCGCTGCGAATACACACTTCTCGAGGTTCGCAAACAACTTATGCTCACGCATAAGTGTAAGATCCTGAAAGACGTGTTTATGAACCTCCGCGTCCGTCTTTCCATCCATAGCCCGGCTACGGATGAAGACAACGTCAAAGTAACTCGGTGCGAAGTCTCGCACCGATCACAACAAATTCGTAACACATCTGTTGAACGTTTCAGGGGCGTTACTTAGCCCCTGTGGCATCACTAGCCATTCCCAGAGCGTGCCGCTAGGCGTGCTCACTGCTGTGTACGGGATGTCCCGTTCACGCATGAGGGTATGATAGAATCCATCCATCAAATCCATGGACGAAAAGATGGTACTCTTTGCCATACCATCTATGATGAAGTCCTTTCTTGGGATCGGCGTTTAAGCCGGTACCGTTGCAGCGTTTAATTTGTTTAACACGTGCACTATCCGCCACCCTCGTGTGGCCTTTTGCACACAGAAGGTCGGAGAGCTGTGTGGGAATGTTGATTCCCTCACATGGCCAGCCGCTATGCGATCGGCAAAGAATTTGTCGATCGCTGTGACCTGTTCACGAGGCAGTGTTCACTACTTCACGACACAGTACTTTGAACCGGGTTTTAGTTCGATCTCATGCCGATTAAATTTGTCCTTAGGAAACTCGCATGGCACGGGTTCGGGGAAAACATCCCTGAATTCAATCAAATCCTTATGCAAAGGATTTGTCTTAAAAGACTCCCAAGATTGAGATGTGTATTGCTCAATCCTGGTCTTCTCATCGAGGACACTCTCATCCATTAATTAAACATTTTAATGAGCTACTGTGAACCCGTTCGTTCTCACCAAACACTTGTGCCAACCGAACATCGGCGACGTACTCGTCCTCTGTGGTGAGTACGCTGATCTGCTTGATCTTGTTACTACGCAGATCTCGAAAGAATCCTTTAGATTCTAGCGTTGGCAACTTGATTACCTCCGAATCTGACTTCGGAGGTGTAACCAGATCAAGTGTATAAGCGCGTACACTTGATCCGTCATTTACCAAGACGTTCACTGTCTCGGCGATTTTCTGGGAAAACACATCCGCAGGTGGTTGGGAATCCACACCCTCAGCATAACTCTCTCGGGAGTTATCACTCTCAGGAAAGCTGGAACTTTCTTCCAATACGTGTACTGACTGTGGGTGCGCTACCACAGTCCATCCTCTTCGATCAACTCTCTTTTAGTCGATCGGGTTGTCTCTATGATCGACTCTCTGTTAGTAGATCTCGCTTTAACATTTTCTTCATCCTGAACAACACTATTCTCTCTCCTTGTATGCACCCTGCTTGGTATCCACCCGTGTTGCAGTCCGCTCAATCATTTCGAGTGGTGAACCTTCGGCGCAGCCTGTGTCTCTACACAGGTGCCGGAAGCTGGTTCCACAGTGTAGTGGCCTTCTGCACTGTGATCTTGTGCAGTCGTACTAACGACCGTACCACAAGTGAGGCCATTGCACTCAACCGTAGTACATCCACACGCTTGTGGACGCTCCAAGACTTTTAGCAGATGACCATCTGATGAACAAACGGCAAGCATCTTCACGGATCGATGCTGCCAGCTGATCCATGGCTGGTATTTTATATGCCATGGCAGCCCGAGGATGACACCAAATTTGTCATCAAGATCCAGTATGATGAATTAATCATTGTACTGCCTTCCTTCTAGCATGTAGTGGATTCCCACTACAAGCTTGTTTACGGTTACGGATGCGCCTGTAGCAAGTCACACCGTCATCCTCGTTGGAGGTGTCTCTCGCTCAACATGGTTGAATCTATTATCTTAGCGACTGGTGTCAAATAAGACTGCTCAACTCCCCACAGTCAAATAGGGCGCGAAGTGACATTCCACTTGTCACTTCGATCTTCAAAGTGATGAGGGGCACCTCATCATTAGTCTTTTTGTGTTACTGCCCCTAGTGATGAGGGACACCTCATCACTAGGGGCAGTAACACAAAGAGACTGTGTGTTGGGAGCAATCTTCGTCAAGAGTCCTGAAAATTCTCTTGACGTTGCTGGATAAGCAGAGTGCTCCACCCCTGACCATTTTTTGGCGGTCCGACTTGCTGTCGCGGTTTAGCGACATGGTCGGATCCGCGCCTTGGACCTTCCCTCGGCCAAAAGCGG